GTTCCTGCTGCAAAAAGCAGGAAATTTTGTTAGGAAAATCGGAAATTTTGTGAGAAAAGTGAGAGCAGTGACATTAACATTCTTTGTTTTCTGCATTTTTGTGCAACGAGACGATTATTTAAATGTCGCACTGGCATTTGGACGCGAACTGATTTATTCAAGGTTTTGGCTCTAAAAATATTAAGGTCGCTATTTCACTTGACAACATTACAAAAAACTAGCAAAATTATTACTTCAGGATTTTTTTCTCAATTAAAGTGTTAAATCAACTGAGGAAGTGACTAGGACTGAAATTATCTCAGAAACGTGGTTTTCAGGAAGTGAAATAATATAATTTTCAGGATTTTCAGATTGTTTTAACTATCGTATCAAGAATTATCTAAGAAACTGTTAAAAATGTTGTGACCTATTAATATTCTCAGGAATTAACTAAGAAAGTTTTGTTTTTAACCTTTTTTTTTAACCGACTCAATTTATTAACAAACTAACTCAGAAATAGCTGACACTCAAAGAAAACTGAAATCAAAAACTTAGTAAAAACCGCCTCAGTATTCTCAATAATTGAGTAAGAAAATTTGAATTTTAAACAATTTTTAACCGACTCAGGATTCTCAGAAATAAGCTAAGAAAAAAAAAGTTATAGCACAAAATACACTTTAGGAATTGATTTGAACGAGTGGGGAGAATGACAAAAACTGAGAATTACCTCAGGAACTAGTTATTTGTAAGTTTGTTTCCTGAGTCTCTACTCAAATTTTCTCAGAAAACGATGCAAAAATAGAATATTAATTAATTCATTTTTATTTGAAGTTTTAGAAACTTGCTATTGATTGGTTTCCAGAGTATCAGTTCTAAATTGTCTCAGGAAACATAAATATTTAGGGATTTGGTGAAAACTGGTACTGACTTTCTCAGGGACTTTCATTCTTGTATTTTCTGAGTAAAACTATCTCAGAACTGATTCAGTGTTGAGAATGACAAAAACTGAGAATTACTTTAGGAATTAGTTTTGTTTCCTGAGTCTCTATTTTCAAGTTTTAGAAACTTGCTACTAGTTGGTTTCCAGAGTATCAATTTTAAATTGTCTCAGGAGACAAGATAATTTTGGTCTTGCTGGAAACTGGTACTGACTTTCTCAGGAACCTTAATTTTTGTATCTTCTGAATGAAACTATCTTAAAACTGATTTAGAGAGGTTGAGAATGACAAAAACTGAAAATTATCTCAGGAACTAGTTATTGCTTGGTTTAGCTGAAACCTGGTACTGGACTTTCTGAGGGACTTTAATTTTTGTATTTTCTGTGTAAAACTAGTATCTCAAAACTGATTCAGAAAATTTAAAAATTGAAAATTATTTCAGGAACTAGTTATTTCTAAGTTTGTTTCTTGAGTCTGAATTCAAATTTTTGTCAGAAACCGATGCAAAAATAGAATCTTTTTTAATTCATTTTTATTTAAAATTTCAGAAACTTGCTTTGGTCGGTTTCCTGAGTATCAAATGTAAATTGTCTCAGGAAACAAAAAATAGTATTAAGTGTTAAAAATAGGAAACATTGTTATTTCTAGAATTAATTAAAATAAAAAACTTGATTAAAAGTTGAATTTTTAATTTCTTTATTCAAGAAAAAAAAACATCTCTGGATTAATATTCTCAGTAAAGAACTATTTATGTAGAAAACTATGCATTAAAATTAAAAAACGAAATTTTGTTTCTCTCAATTTTTTGATGAACTCTCAGAATTTGTCTCAGAAAACGTACAAAATGGAGTTTTTAATAATCCAACCATTTTTTATTATACTTTTAAATAATGTTTTTAATTGGAACGAATAAGTTTCTGTGGGATTATTTAAAAAAATAGATTTCTCAGGAAATCACATTTTGAAACTGAGTTTTATCTTTAACAAAAACTGTCTCAGGAATTAAAAAATTATAGAAAGTAGTTGTAAATTGTAATTGAATCTAAATTTATTTTGATTTAAGAAAACTGAGATTTTTTTCTGGTTTACTCGATATTGGACAACATCTCAGGATTTTCAAAACTGAAAAACTGTAATTATATCTACAAAAACTAAACAACAAACTTTTTTATCCTTTTTTTGAAAACCGAGATCACAAATTTGGTGAAAAACCGACTCAGTTTTTTCAGGAATTAGCTTAGATTTTTACAACTTTTTTTAGGTGGTAGAGAGCTCAAAGGCTCAGGATTCTCAGATTCTCAGTTAACTGGAAAATTGTGTTGAATTTTTATAAAACGAAACAATAAACTTTGCAGTAGTGAGAAATGTCGACTTTTTCATTAAACTCTCAGGATTTGATTCAGATCTGAGTTATTGTAAAAAAATTATTAAAATTATGACACTAATAAATGTTAAAAAAATCGATTTCTCAGGAAATCACATTTTACTGAGTTTTTATCTTTAATTGAAATTGTTCCAAGAATTAAAAAATGTTTAAGGGCAGTTGCAAATTATAATAGACGCCAAATTTAATTTAATTCACGAAAACTGAGATTTTTTGCTGGGATATTCCCGAAACTCAGTTATGAGAGAACATCTCAGGATTTTCAGAAATGAAAAACTTTTATATCAAAAACCAAAGAACAAACTTTTTTATTTTTCTTCATTTCTCACGAAATTATTTCGGAAACTATCTTAGAAAAAGTTGCTTTGACTCTGAGACAATTTCCATTTCACTGAAACTTCTGAGAAAAATTTGCT